GGATCAGGAGGCCACTTCATCCCATATGAGGAAGGCTCAACTCCAGCTGATGTGTAAGAGGAAACTGGGGGCAACATTATCTTGCAAGGTGACAGCTCTACTCCCCTGGTTTTGTAAATAGTAGCAAAAGACCATGTTAACCTAGAAGGCAATGGCTCAGCTCCTGTGAGTGTAATAGGAATAAGGAGGCCATGTTAACCAGAAGGTGATGGCTCAACCCCATTAGTTGAGTAAGTGTGAGTACAAGGTCACGTCAACCAGAAGGTGATGGCTCAACTCCATTAGTTGAGTAAGTGTGAGTACAAGGTCACGTCAACCAGAAGGTGATGGCTCAACTCCATTAGTTGAGTAAGTGTGAGTACAAGGTCACGTCAACCAGAAGGTAATGGCTCAACTCCATTAGTTGAGTAAGTGTGAGTACAAGGTCACGTCAACCAGAAGGTGATGGCTCAACTCCATTAGTTGAGTAAGTGTGAGTACAAGGTCACGTCAACCAGAAGGTGATGGCTCAACTCCATTAGTTGAGTAAGTGTGAGTACAAGGCCACGTCAACCAGAAGGTGATGGCTCAACTCCATTAGTTGAGTAAGTGTGAGTACAAGGCCACGTCAACCAGAAGGTGATGGCTCAACCCCATTAGTTGAGTAAGTGTGAGTAGAAGGCCACGTCAACCAGAAGGTGATGGCTCAACTCCATTAGTTGAGTAAGTGTGAGTACAAGGCCACATCAACCAGAAGGTGATGGCTCAACTCCATTAGTTGAGTAAGTGTGAGTACAAGGCCACGTCAACCAGAAGGTGATGGCTCAACTCCATTAGTTGAGTAAGTGTGAGTACAAGGCCACGTCAACCAGAAGGTGATGGCTCAACCCCATTAGTTGAGTAAGTGTGAGTACAAGGCCACATCAACCAGAAGGCAATGGCTCAATTTCAGTGTTGTTGTGTAACATGATCAGGAGGCCATGTCAACCAGCAAGGCTATGGCTCCACTCCTTTGGAGACCATGTCGCATCTACATCAGCAGAACACCACTGCCCTACTCTCAAATGAATGGTCTGTGGAATGTAATAATGAAATTGCATCCCCATAGCATTAAGATGACAAGCAAATGCACGGATGATGCAACAAAACACATACTGAGCCGATGTGAGTTTGAAGGGAAGGGCTCGAAATTGGTAAACCACCCCGAGATAGATAAATCATAGATAAGGTCGAGATTGCTGGGCAATCGGGATGTGAAAGTAATCATTAGAGACATTCATTTTTGTCATCCACAATTCCGGCAAAAATGCCCTTCTCCATGATAAACTTGGGAAGTGTGATGAAGCAGTTGAGGTGGAATAAATCAATAACCAACTGCCAATCCTTGGTTTTCTTGGAGACCATGAAAAGAGGAGAATAAAACCCCCAGAAGGGTGGCTGACCAGTTCGATATCCCATTGCAAAAGCAATTCTCAAACTGCCTCTGACAGATGCTGGCATGCCACGGGATCTGGAGAAAGAAGAAAGGAAATGGGGCAAGGAAAAAGAGGAGGAGGGGGAAGAAACTGGAGAATGAATCCTCCTGACAGAACCTGCATTACCCATTGATCCTTGATCAAGGGATGCCAGTGAGGAAGAAAAGTCCAACAGTTGAGCTCCTACTGGCTCCAAACCCACTGGGTAGTCCCCAGTGCTGTTGGCTATGGATGTTTTGTCGACAAGGAAATCGACAAAAAGAAGTACTCTGACTAGCAGGAAAGGGTAAGGGTTGGGAGGATGAAGGATGGGAAGAGGAGGCATATGAGACTCTGACTGACATAAATGGGTGAAAAAGGTCGTGAGGGTGGATTGCTGATGGGCTGATGTAACCCGAGGCTCGATAGTTTCTGAGAGAATACCAAAAACATGACATTGCAAAAACGGAGCAAGACATAAGTCCTGTAGATATGGAGAGAGTAAACTGACCCTGGCCAATGAAGCATCCCTACCAATAAGGTCCCAACAGCAAAGAAACCATGTGTAATGCTAGAACCGAGGAAAAAATGTTAATGTGGAGGAGAGAATGTGCAGGGTATCCACAGAAAACCCTCAGGATTTCTGTGGAGTGTTTCAGAGAGGAGATGTATGGAAAGACACCATAGAAGGGTGGTTTGGGTGAGATGAAGGCGAGAATATTGGGCATGGGTAAGACTAACATTATAATTGGGAGCTGTCCCCCCAAAGAGGTAACAAAGAACCCAACAACTGCTGATCCAAAAATGGATAGTCAGTACGATGGTAAGAAAGGACGTACTGATCCAAGGGCTTCAAAGGGGTGTGGCATGCTGATCCCCTCACATAATTGAGAGATAAAGTGATCAGCATGTACCTAAATATCTGGGAGGGAGGAAAACCAAAAATGGTTAAAAAGAGGTTTCATGTAATAAAGAAAGTTGAGGGAAATAAGATATATGAGAAAGGGATAAAACATCACAAACCTGAGACACAAAATCTGTGAAGACTGAATTAGGTCTAGATGATTCCTCAATTAGCAAGTGGGAAGAAATGGCAAACTCTGGAGGTGGGAAAAGACAATAAAAATCCTCTTCATTTTGTAGAATTCATGCCAATTCAGGAGGAGCCTGAGTGATGTCAGGGGCCAAAGTCTGACCTACATAGCGTTCAATTTCCCGATATATAAAAACAGAAAGATCTATTGACAGGTTGTCTGCACCTGAGGCCTGAGAAACAACAATAATTGTTGATGTGACTCCTGAAGTGGTAACATGAACTTCAGAATTCATAATGCAAAACAGGACTCACAAGTGATCAAGTTTTGTCAAAATAGAAAGTGACAAGATGAGCTGGTTTATAGTAAAAAAAGAAATTAAAAGTAAGTTGAAAAAGAAATTGGGAAAAAAAAATGTTCTATTCACACACAGCAGCATTAGCACAAAGAAAGTGCACAAGGAGTGTGCATCACGTGAGCATGTCAGGTTACTATTCGTTAAGAGATGATGCATGAGAGACATGTTGGAACATGATATTTCCAACAGAGGGGGATGTACAAGGCTTGTGTTATGAAATGTTCGCATACAGAGGGCAGTATTGAACGAGAATACCTAATCTTATGAAAGGAGGTAATTAAAATATTGTAAAAAGTTAAATATATTTGCAGATTAAAAAATATTTAATTATGAACCAATCATACTTTTGAAACCTGGATAAATCTTAGTAGAGGCAGAAAGGGTCCCATAATTCAGGAAATAGGTAGGGTGAAGTGCACCATTAGTACCTTACTTTTCTGAGCCTCTATATAGTGTTATATCATAATAAATTAAAGGAAACATAATTGAAAATGTTTTGGCCATGTTCAGCTCTAGGATTTTAGCATGATTAAAATAAATTTATTTGCAGTGACTTTTTTGTACCTTGGTATTATTGTAAGGCAAATTTTATTTCAGTACTTTTCACTAGATGCAGTTTTTGTACCATGGGATTATCGTATGGAAAGTCATGGAATTACTGTACTGCATATCTTAAGAACATTTAATGTTGTTGCAGGTTTTGTACCATGGGATTATTGTATGGAAAGTCGTGGAATTACTGTACTGCATATCTTAAGGACATTTAATGTTGTTGCAGGTTTTGTACCATGGGATTATTGTATGGAAAGTCATGGAATTACTGTACTGCATATCTTAAGGACATTTAATGTTGTTGCAGGTTTTGTACCATGGGATTATTGTATGGAAAGTCATGGAATTACTGTACTGCATATCTTAAGGACATTTAATGTTGTTGCAGGTTTTGTACCATGGGATTATTGTACGAAGTGGCTATTTGTTTAGCTTTGTGGGTAAATAGCTTCAGAGCTATTTGTCCAGCAACTAAAATGTACATGTGTAGGCTTATTTCAAACTCAGCGGCAGAATATCACAAAAAAGTGTGGGGATGAAGAACATGCAGCTGAAAATGTTACATAATAAACTTTTTCAAAATGAATTATAAATAAAACGTGAATTCTACAGAAGAGATTCCTGAAAAATTGGTTTTGTTTTGAATTTCACACAAAGCTACACAATGGCTATCTGTGTTACCTGCCCCTAATTTAGCAGTGATAGACTAAATGGAATGCAGCTTGTCAACACCACAAACTGCCAACTCTTGGGCAACTCTTTCACCAACGAATAGTTGGATTGAGCATCACATTATAATGTCCCCATGGTTGAAAGGGTAAGCATGTTCAGTGACAAGGATTCAAAACTGCTACCCTCAGTTTGCGAGTCTAACCTCTTAACCACCAGGCCATGCCAAGCCTTCCTGGACAACTGAATCAGAAAGAAAAAAAGAGGGATTAAGTGAGAAATCAAAGATGCACTGAGACTTTTATCTCTGTTTTGAAACAACAGAGAAGACATAAGGTAAGGATATTTTGGGTTAGTGAGAAGAGTAAGCTAGGAGTCTTGTGACAGCAAACTATTCAGATGACAGAAAAGCTTGTTTATTTATGTGCATTAGTAAAATGATTTTATCATTCAAACAACATGTAAAAGTTCAAGAACTCCTTAGTTATTAAAAACAAGCTACAATCATTAAACAGAAATTGAGCTTGGCGAAAAACATAGATGGACAAATATCAGTATAAGCCTAGGATATGAGTTAAAGTTATGCTTATACCAGCCAATGCTTTTACTGTTCATCAGTGTTTTATGCTTATTTCATGGCTACATAACTGGTTCAATAGGTAAAGATAAGTAAGGAATATAAATAACTGGTGAGGCCTAACTGGATGTATATAAGATGGAATTTTATGATCAATATTATTTAAAAAACAATCAAGTTTTATTTCTTTCATTCATAGTTCTTAATAGGCAGACTAATGAATATTCATCTAGCCAGCCAGATAAGTAGCTTCCTGACTATCCATCCAGCTAGCCATACAAACAGCCACAGCCAATTTTGCATGGCAAATCTTATTCTAGGACATTTCAAGTGATTATAATTTTTGAACCACAGAATTATTATATGGCAAGACTTACTTTAGAACATTTCATGTGGTTGCAACCTTCATTCTTCTGAATTGGAGATTTACAGCTCGGGCAAGGTTTGGAGTTAGTTACTAGCCACAAACAGTTAGCTGCGTCTTCTGTCCTTGCACATGTGGTTCTCACTAAAATTAAACAAATTATATGCCTAATTAAATTAAACTGATTTAATGATTGTCAGGATAAAAAGAATATTACTAAACATCATAATGAGATTATTAATTTCTTAACAATTCAGTCATTACTGAATCAATAGTGTGTCAGTAAAAAAAGTATTCTAATTACATCCTGTCATGGTCCACAACTAGAAAATGATTATAGTATTAAATTTGTTTTAGTTGCACATGACTTCTTTGACCTAACTGGCATTTCCGTTAAATAGCAAATCAGAAATGTCAATCATTCTACATTTATAAAAAAAAATTATCCACAGTTGACAATAAGAGGAGAACCTTAATTGTTTGGAAGTTAATATTCCTGTTCTGCATTGAAGTTTGTAAAGAATGTGCCAAGACTCTTAAGAAAATTAGATGTTTTTCTCTAAATGATGCTAATAAAAACTGAATGAAGAATAATGTAGTTTTAATTTGAAATTTATAAATAAAAACAAAAGGAAATATAGCTTTGTTAATTTTATACTGAATCATTAATTGAGAACCTCTTTAGCAAGGATATACTAAAAGTAGATTATTAAGAGCCCTAGCACATGAAAATAATTAGAATTCCCCTTTTACCCAAAATATTTCTGTTTATTACATTTCTTGTAGAAAATTTTAGAAAACTTTTGTTTTTATACTTTTTTTACTACATGTAAATGTGATACTTTACTTATTATTATTATGTTTTTCATCGTAGTTAGTGGCTTTATAGCACCAAAATTAAAAAAATTATTTTATTCAATATATAAAATGATAAGTTTCAGCAGATTGAGGCTTCAAATTCAATAAATAAATTAGCATTACAGAAATCAAAGTTATAAAGGTTTATATCACTATTTAATATACAAATTAGAATCTCACACAGAAATTATGTATGGTACTCCTATAATGCATAAAGAAGTTCTCCAATGAAGCACATCCTTTTCAGTATAGGATTTTATAACCACAAATCATCCATTATTTTTAGGTTTCTATTAGGTAGTAATATATAAATAGTACAATAGTCACATATTTTCACAATGAGTAAACCAAGTAAACTATTATGTATATATATTTATGTATGAATGATGGGTTGTTAAAGTCCTTAGGGTATTAATGAATGGTTCAGCTTTTTATAAACATTTCTAATATAACATTCTTTTATTACCTTAAATGTTTATTTTTTTTTTGCTATGTAAAGTTGTTTTATATTTCTAATAATTTTTAATACTATTTCTTAATCACCAGCTTTATTATATTGTTCAATTGTTGTAGTTATATCTCACATTACATTCTGTTTTTGTGCATTGTTTCATTTTAAAACATTCCTATAGTTGCCATTAACTGACAGGCTAGTTTCTGGCTTGAAAAAGAATGTTTGCTCAAAATGTCACCCAGAAAATAAATTACAATCATAGTTTTTAAAACTGATTTATCTCCAAAAGTCTAATTTCTATACTTTATCACCTTTGCATTTTTCTTCTTATATATATATACAGACAAACACATACAAAAAACATAGTTACATTCTTCTGGTTTAATTTCTGCTATCTTAGCATGCCATTCTCTCCATCTGTCACAGTCACAAGGTGCATGAGCTTCACTAAGGCATTCCCTGAAAATTTATAGCAATCAGTCATCTCAAAGTGTCATGTGAAGAAACATTTACTTAGACATAAAAAAGTGACAAAAATGTTGATGTATCTACAAGCAAAGTTTACTGACATGTAGAAGTATCTACATAAAACTTATTTCAATTTTTCAAAATAAAAAGCAAGCTGAATTTTGGTATAATAATCAATATATATAATAATAAATTTATGGACAACAAGCGTCATGTTAGTTCATCTAGACCATTCCATCCACTAAACTAAACTTTTTAAAAAATAAACACAACAATGCAAGCCAACCCTTATCATTCAAATATTTATAAAGTCTTCACTTAAATTTATTGTATCCACCATACCAGAAGGGAAACCATTCCAAAGGCCAACCACCAGTCAAAAAAGTTAAATTGTCTTAGTTGAAAATGACTCTTACCCTGCTAAAATTCCTGTTTATGCCCCCTAGTCCTACCACTTTCACCATCAAGTATAAAATAATATAATGCATTAACACTATCAATTTCCTTAAAAATCGTAAACACCTAAATCAGATCCCTTCCTGCTCTTTTTTTTCAAGAGGAAACATTTCAAAGATCTTAACCTGTATTTATATGACAAACCTTCCTATTAGGTATTATCCTAATAACTCTCCTTTTAACCCTTTCCAACGACTTAATGTCTTTCCTTAGGTAAGAAATAATCCAAATGTGGCCAAATAAGTGACCTATACAATAAAATTATAACCTCTTTAGACTTTTTTAAACCTAAAATCATATTTACCCTACCACAGATAATAGTACACCACTTGAATAACTTGAGAGACTGAGCAACCACAACATCAAGATCCTTTTCTTCAATAACATTGTTAAAATTATTTATTCCCCTAAAAATTATATTTATAATAATTAAAAGCCATTTTCTATTTATTCACCCAGCTCACCAAATAATCTAAATTATTTTATGAAGCATCATAATTCTTGCAACCAGCATTCCTTCATCTATATCACTGTAAATCAAAAAGACCAAATGTTCTAACACTGAGTATGAGGTACCACACTTGTGACATTAATTCAGTTTGGCTGAGCTCTACTTATAACAACCTTCTGGTTTTTTCCATCTAGCCACTTTTCTATTCAATGAGCCACGTTATCCTCCACAGTTATAGAGATCATTTTGGTTTTAACAAGCCTTTTATGTGGCACCTTATCAAATGCTTCTTGAAAATCAAATACACCAAATCCCTTATTCTCATCTTGATAAGCAATAACCTCTTCAAAGATTGTCAAGAGATTAGTAAGGGAAGATTTTCCTTACTATGAAGGACATACACAAGTTCAATTCACATAAGATGACAACAGAAGCATAACTAAACTAGATGTAGCATCATTATGTATACATCTATCATTTTCTATAAACAGATGCAAGTATCAAATCAAGAATACATAATCATTGTATATCCTTCACCTAAGTTAAATAAAAGTACTGTTAAGGCTTCACTAAATTAGCCAATTGATTGATAAAAAACAAATAAACCTGTAAACAAAAGCCTAAAAAAATGAACAAACTCACTATCATGATCTAATATATATACATAATTCCTATGTTATGAGAATACATCAATACATAAATGTAATTATTGTGAAGACAAACATTGATGATGGTAAATTAATAAAAATGTTGTAACACTACGATTAATTAAATGTTCATAATGATATATATGCAAAAAAAAATATACTTGTCATGTAAAGCTTCTGTGTTGCCATGCTCATGGTATCTGTGTCAGTCAAACAGTTACTCTATTTTAGGATACAGGCACGAAAAGCAAAAAAAAACATTGTACAAAAAACATTCAGATAATATTTGAAGAAATAAAAACACTAGATAGAATATTAATAAAAAATAGGAAAACTTTAATTTTACACAATGTTCGGGCCTTAACCTTTCTTAGGTGATGTTTGCTGAAGTCATATGTACAGAACACATTTGAATATGATTTGGAATGGCAAAAATAGGAAAACATGCTGAACCTTGAGGTTGTTTCAGAGCCAACTCATTTGCAGTAGCCTTTACAAGCAGCTTCTTCTTCAGCTTTAGCTCAAACCACATTGAACTATGTCACCAAGAAACAGTCTTTTAGAACATAAATGTCCTAGAGTCCAGTCCCATGTCATGCCAAGTGGTATTTCTTACTAACCTCTTCCTCATGATCCAAGGGTGTTGTGCCTGGAAAAGCCTTTCTTGCAATGCTCTCTAATTTTTCTTGTAAACTGCCAAGTTTTAGTTGGGCTCACATCTTAGAACTCTATGGATTAGTTGGTTTTCTCCAGAGTCAAATCTGTGGCATTAGTGACAATGTTCTACTCATTGAGTTGCTCCTCTTGCTACAGCTTTAGGATGCTGAACACTGAACATTCAAAACTCAGTATCAGGTATTGCACTACCTGTCCCAAAGTCCATAGATTCCAGAATCTAATTTGTCTGATAAGTTTGAGGGAAAAGTCTAAGTTCTCCACTGATGTCCTTTTAAATACCTGCTCTACTCACCACCATTATAGAACTGTGGTGCAAACAGGTAAAGTATAAGTACATCATTATGAATTTAGTGTCCTCAGGCAAGGTCAGAATCAAAATTTTACAATGTTTAATGATGCATGTAGATTGTTTTTATTTGCATCCACTTCAGCCATTATGAATGGTCTCAGAACATTGTCAACATGACTTTCTGGCCTGGAAGACTCCCAGACAACCTCTATATAGACAGAAGCGACTAGTTCTGGTAATACCTAGACTTGTTATAATACCATTGGGGATGCCTAAAACCCAGAAGAGAGGTGTCTCAGAAGCTTGGCCAAACAAGTTAAAACTTTCTTGAATGACCACAGTTATATGAAATCATAGCCTTAAACCAGTATTTATCAACCACCAGTCCATTTCTACTAGTCTACTGGTCCATGGGATTTCATGAAATAATAATATTCATATATAAATCATTACAGTTTTTCATTGGCCTTAAATTTTAGTTGTCCATGACAGTATAGGGAGGCAGTGAACTGGTCTCTAGTATTGAAAAGGTTGAGAAATACTGCCTTACACTATGACTAAAAATTTTACAACTGCTTATATCCTCTTAACAAGGAAATTTACTAAGGCTAGAATATATATACATAATATTCCTGATTATATCTGAATAAAGAAATTTCATATTCTAGTAATAGAATGTTAAGATCTGGCATTTTAAAACTGCTACATACTGACAGTATCCAATAAAATAAAATAAATATGATAAGAATATTTCAAAATAATAAGCAGTGAAGAAGGGTTTGGAAGTTGTATATAAATAAACTTTTGGTATGAAGTTTTTATGAATCTTAAAGCTAATAGCTTATTAGTATGTATATCAATCATAGAAATGTTTATTGATGTTTTTTATAGTACAATGGAACAATTTCAGTAATAATATTGTATAATGACTCCAAGAATATATCATATGTTTTAAAAGTGCATTTTGTTCTTAAATTAATCTAGTGGAGGAATAATAACAATTTGGTGGTCAGATAATATTTTCTTATATATATATTCTTTATTCCTGAATATTAACTAATGGATACAATGTAATCAATATGAATGTAAAGTTAGCAAATTTGAGGTAAATTGCACTCTTAATAATTATAAATTGAATCAGGTTTTAATGCTATAAGTATACATGCTTGTTGGCATATTATATATAACTAATATGAAATACTAACAAAAGAATAACTGGTGTTCCATGTCTTGTACATTTATTCTAAAGTATAAATAGAGCCAACAGAAAAGTACTAAGTCTGCAATATGGGAGGCTTGAAAAAGACTCATTTGCAGAAAATTAAATTGAAGATGCACAGCAAAAGAAAGAGAACAACATTAAGTGCAAAACAATGAATAACAAACTTTGGTTCTTGAACAACACATGAGAAACCAAGGTGTTCCGAGATCTTTTGAATCTGACCAACTGACTTTTACATTTTTTTCTTATTGGAACTGAGGAAGATAATGTTATGTTTAGGTCACTTTCAAGTCAATTCTAAATGCTAGTTTTAGCAAGTATGTGGTATGCAGGTATACCATGTGTTTATTACCTCTTGTTTTAATATAAGAATTTCCAAAATTTTTCATTTATATTTATTCTGATTTATACAGTTTTAACACAGAACATTGGTCAAGAAAGGCATTAAGGTCCTTTTGCTCTAGATATTTATTGTTTTGAGTCATTCACCTATGGCATCATCTTTGTTCTTCTGTGAAAATAGACAATGACATTTTGTACTGGCAGGTCAGGTGATATCTTGAGCATATAACATTCCTTATGTGTCAGTGGGAATGATCAACAATCACATGGGTACTACAAGAGCCCTGAGAGAACTAGAATTATGTTTAGTGTATATAATGCTATGTTTTCTCAGTCTGAGACAGATTATGGAGGTCTACATATTTTACAGCTATTCCTTAAAAAATAATAACAGAGATCTCTGCAGTAAAGGTGCCATCCTATGTCTATAAACACATTATTTTTATTGTTTGTGAGTGTAAGTAAAAACTGATTCATTTTGTCATATGCTGTGTCCAATCTCTTACATTCTTCAAACAATGTCAAAGTCAGAGAATTCAGATTTGCTCTAAGATATATTTATTGATTGAACTTCCTGTTATTCTGCAGAAAAATGTACGTAGGAAGGAGAAAACTTTGGTGCTGTGACCAGAATTCAAACCTAGGTTATTACAATTTTTTGTCTTCTTCTGATGCATGCATTTCCCTGTAAATGTCTATTGTGTTATAAAGTTTAAAAAGGCTTTCTACTTGGAGAAATGGCATTATTAATGAATCAATTAACTTACAACCAATAGGTAACTTGTGGGAGATGGTTGTCTGAGAGTGTTTTCAGGTCTATGTGCTTTGTTTGTGTTAGAGCAAAACCACATTAGGCTATCTGCTGTGTCCACAATGGGGAATCAAACTCCAAATTTTAGCATTGTA